CAACGATCTTCATATGTTTTCTAAATTTGAAAATCAGGACTAAACTTAGGATTAAAAAATTTGATAATTCACGTAGCGTATAATATTCTTTTAATTAAATGTTCCTTCTGTTTGTAATTTCTGCTGTGCATAACATAATATTCAGCGTGATTTTTACTTTGAAATGTGACACAATCAGTGAAGATGTTAATCGATGCGAGCATTTATCATCGTCGAGCGAGATAATTGGAAAGCACCTCTCCCGAAGGCTTTAATCGTATCTGGCTAGTAAGACGTAACTCGCTCGCGACTCGTACGAATTATGCAAGAAACTATATTTGCACCTTATAAGGTTGACCCGGCAGTGCACGCTCATCCTTTGAACGTACACGCATCTATCGCTGATTAAGCCTGTTTTGCTAAGAGCGGTCTGCTGCGTTAAGCCGAACTCGACAAATTGCTTTCTCCGCGGTTAACGTCCACTGGCCAAGTTGCGATTCGCAGTCTGGATGTCGCTTGTGAATTATAGCACCTGCTTTTTTTCTGTCAAGGTTGCGCGAAGAATCGCATCTTGCGAAAGAAAGTTCTCCACGAACCTCCGAGCGATGCTTCGAATACATATCTGTGTTGCGTGAAGTATACATTTATATATATATGAATTGAATACATACATATTTGATCTTGCTTACGTTTTGTTTACTTTCTGCACAAACGATTATAAAATAGCACATTAATTTTTTCAGAACTCTTTATCATAAGCTGCATATTTTTTACGTTGCCTGCTTTGGTAATGCATGCCGCAGCAGACGAATACTAATGATGCAGCTTCTCTCGTCTGTTACAAATGGCCACGTAATCACGAGAAGACGACCGTTAACTTTGTTAAGTCTCTTCACCGCATGTTTTTCACAATTAATATTCAATCAATGAGTAACGCGATTACGTTAATGGAATTGATTCGATAATTCGCTGTTACAAAACATGTGACTATCGGTCAGACCATTATCGGGACTTTTTATTGCCATACATTCCTCGCGTAAACATCATTCAGAATATTGATTCGACAATATTCCAATGCTACTTCTTTAGCTATTTACAACTTTTTAAACCTTGACATTTATTTAACAGGAAAGGTTGCATGATTTGCATAAATCCGGTACAAGCATTCGAAAATACTATTCATACTTTTGTTCGTGAAAACTGAATACATACATTATTAATTAATATTTTTATATTTATTTCATGCGGTAAGATAATACTTTTTTTCCGATAAGATTTCATTAAAGTGAAGAGTTTTCAAGCTTCAAATCACCTTTGATTTACATATATTAATATGTCTCTTATTAAGTGGTTATTAAATTAATTGAAATTTTTGATCCACAATTATGTAGAAAGTTTTTATAATTACACATTTTGCTGTTTTTAATTATTATAATAAAATCAACTTTTTGGACGTCTGCAACGCTTTCTTGAGGGCCCCTTCATTATCTACGCAATTTTTTCAGAAAGGTCTGCACAATAAATTCTATACCTTCGGCGATTGCTTCTCAATTTGATCGACTCTCTTCCGTATGTCCATTAGCGACAGTCGCGTGATTAGAAATTTCAACGCTCGATTGCGTTGCGCAAGACATTTTGCACCTTACACGAGCCACGCGTCGACCCAATGCGAAAAAGGCCATCGAGGTCCATGTCGCTTATCGGGCAGCATCTCGCGAAGTCTCGCTTTCTCCAAATGTAAATGAAGTGTCTAAGGATACTTTGTGAGAGTGATCGATTGTTTACTTAATCGGCACGGACCTTCGCACAGAGTTGAATAAATAGGATAGCACACTGCCGGGTGTCCGCATAGTTATTATGCTCTAATAATTGCCCTACTTATCGCGCGCGGTGAGATAGTCATTTGCGATAAAAAAAACTCGCGCGTGTACTCGGACAATAAAGTTTCGAAATTACTCTTTTACGTCCTATTGCGTTGCATTTTAAATTTAAATGATCTCTCGAGACTCTTGAGAAAGCATAACCTCCTCTTTCTTGAAATCTTTTGAGCATCCTACAGTTGCAAGAATAGGACGATTGCTCATGTCACCGGTAAGTGGTTTGCAAATAAATTCTGTCATAAATTCCATCAAAGACAACTTTTGGGGCTCGGCATAGGAACGGTCTACACCGTGCAAATCACGAACTCGTCTCTTTCATGAAATAATATATCGTTTCGCAGTTGCAAGAATGTTGTGCGCGAGTCCCTTTACATTTACATAACTGCAACCTGCGTAATTTTCCGAGAGACTTGAGCGAACTTACGCCGTCCTCAATAAAACTAGTATCGTTATTACCGAACACTTTCTACACATAATTTTTATGTACATAATAATGGCATGAATGTTTCCTGGATTGGAAACTCAATGAATACCTTGAAGTCTTTGTCATAATACGAGTTCATGGTTGGTCATTTTAGAGCAAGTAAGTAATTGAATGCGGAATTGAAAATGAGAATATAAACATAATAAATTCAAACTTCAAATATATATGAGACAAATTTCATTAATTGTAGACGAACTTCTAAGAGCTAGGTATGTAAAAGATTGTTTTAAGTATAATATAATAATCTATAAGGAATCTCTCTCTTTCTTTCAGTTTAACCAAAAATCAATCTCCTAATTTAAATACTTGGCAATAAAGAATGTAAGAGCCAAGACACTAACCTGTCTTGGCTCTTATATCCTTTATTACTTTGTATTTATGATTTCACGTCAGAGCCTTATGCATTTTATTTGTTAAATACTTGGTTCAATAGTGCTTGAAACTTTTAACAATAGTTTTGCATAAGCAATAAAAATCTGTCAGAGATCACAAGTTGTTATCGAATCATCTGACATGACTGTTAAGTTTTTGCGATTATTATATAGCCCCAGGCAAGAGAGAACTGTTGTAGGGGTCCTGCAATAACACATTAGGAGAGGAACCTGTCCAAAGTAAATATAGGAAAGGCGAAAGGTAGAACAGATATAGTGACGAGTTAACGGATCGTAATCCATTGACTTAGCTGATGCCACAGAGTATCATCGATATCATTGGATTCTCTATTAGAAAAATTCTAATTGCACAGCAATCAGAAAGGGACAACCGATGAAAGTCAATGTTAAATTTAAACTTCGCTATACTTATTTTAATTTGTTATTGTTAAAATATTTAAACTTTAATTTCAACATTTAAAGGGTTTCCATGAACCAGAATATTAATTTAAACTCATCTTCCTTATAATAAAAATATTCAAATATATGCAAAACGTTTATTTTACTTCAATTGTAGTGTTTTGAGAATTAATGTTACCGATGGAAAAGATACACATTTTATTTTAATTTAGGAATTATAAATTATTGGAAATGGTAAGTCGCCAGTGACAAAAGACAAATAATCAAGAAATATAAACGACCTAGGCTGGCAAATCTCTTTATTTTCTAATTATTTCTATATATATTCTATATATATTCTATAAATAATTCTAATTAAATAAAATACCCGGACGAGATTTATGTTTTGACGATACGTTGACCGCAACTACCGTTCCCACTCGACTTAATCTTGGCAGTTTCCCTTTGACTTTATATTTGACCAGGCATTTGTGTGTTGGTGCGCAGAGTGTTGTACTGGATCTTTTTATTATTCCGATGGATTTATATGTAGGTACTACGACTTGTTTCCTGTAAGTTAATTAATCTAAGTTCCTTTCTTTTTCTAATCTTTAATTTATTGTTATTAACTGCTATTATGTACGTTTGTAGATCTTTTGCTGCAACAATCGATAGGATTAGCGTAAGTCATACTTGAAAAGGGCTAGTATTACTGGCCGAAACGTCATAATTTATTAAATAAAGAGATTTGCCAGCCTAGGTCGTTTATATTTCTTGATTATTTGTTAATTTAGAAACTTTACATATTGCTGATTTTGGGATATACAGTACTTTTGCCGCGATCTTATAATCTGTATCGTATCTTTGACCGACCCCAACACTTCTACAATAGAAACCTTTCACACACTACCAAATACAAATCGGGAAAGACTATATTTCCTCATGGCGCACGCGCTGCCATCCTTCCGTATAAATTATAAAGGTCACCAGACGCACTTCTTCGAAACAAAATCATCATTCATCGAACATAGTTGCTGTCGCACAGACGTTACGGCGATTTAATTTGCAAGTCGGAAATGCCAGATGAAATAAAACGGGCACCTTTGAATCTGCTAACAAGACCGCAATGCATCTACTTGCAGGTGCGAGATTATCCAAACATATTGAAGAAACAAATACAGTGTACTAGTATAGGCAGAAATCTTTATTTTAATATTAAAACTTTATATTTAAATATAAAATATATGTTATATATTCTCTACAAAAAATAAAAATTAAGTAATTAAAGTAGCACACTATAAGCATTTAACATCGTATAACCAGATAATAAATCTAATATTAAATATATAAAATTTACATATATTAAGAAGACTTTATAATCAGTAAAACTTAATTGCTGAAAATAAAGCGTGTGCTCCGCCACATAAAAAAGTTTATATTAACGGGAAGTATTTAACATAGTTGCAGTAAGTGGTATTGTTTGCATTGTCGAACGTTAATCAATGAAAAGACAATATACCGTATTCTACACTCGCGAACCTTTCACGATCAACATCGTCATAATACAAAGCGCCTCGTGGTCGTGATCAAGATGCATTATGTAAGAACACCGTGGGCAAAGCGTGAGATTATCCCACGGAGATGATCTCCAACTATTAGGATTGCATGCATGAACGTTCGATTAATTATTGCGAGAAAGAGTAAATAAAATAACTTTTATTTACTCTTTTAATTGGTAATCCTTAACGCAATAATTATCTAGTTTAACGCAAAAAATATTTGTAATAATAATTACCGTTAATCTAATATAGTATACATATACAACCATAATCAAGTTAGTTTATATATTATTTGGAATTGTGAAAATTTAACAAAAACTATTTGCAGTGGAAGCTGCTGTGGGCGGCTGTACTGGTGGCCGTGCTCTCCACATGTTACGCAGATGCAAACCGTGAGAGAAGCAAACGTGCGATAGAAAACAGCCCACAGTTCCAGGGTTACAACTATGAGCCACCATCTAAGCCTTTTACTTTACCTTCTGAGTAAGTAATTAAGACACTTAAATTAATGCCTCTATAATATTACCAGCTTGAATAAATTTGCCTTTAAAAAAGTTTTATTTATCACCAAACAACATTTAAGTAATAATAAATAATAAATTCTTATTGAATACAAGATCACATTTACATTACGTTGTAAACTATGATTACGTCAACAGAGGGTCACGGACAAACATAGTGACATTGAGACCAACGCCACCGTCACCGCCAAAGATACCACCCACGCCAGGAACAGATGGATATGTATACACTACCCCGAAGACTCCATTCCAAACGCCATCCACTCGGCTGTCAACGGGATACGATTATACAACTCCAGAAAAAATATTTACATTGACACCGAAACCTTTTCCACCACCGAGAACACCGCCACCGCCACCTCAAACACCACCACCAAGTCCGGCGATTAGAACGCCACCAACACTGCCGCCTAAAACACTACCACCATACGTACCTCCACAAACTCCACCACCGAGAACGTTGCCACCATACACACCTCCCCCACAAACTCCACCACCCAGAACGCTGCCACCATACACACCTCCCCCACAAACTCCACCACCAAGAACGCTACCACCATACACACCTCCCCCACAAACTCCACCGCCAAGAACGCTACCACCATACGTACCTCCACAAACTCCACCACCGAGAACGTTGCCACCATATACACCTCCCCCACAAACTCCACCACCCAGAACGCTGCCACCATACACACCTCCCCCACAAACTCCACCGCCACGAACGCTGCCACCATACACACCTCCTCCACGAACTTTTCCACCAAGAACACCGCCTCCGCAAACACCACCGCCTAAAACTCCACCACCATATGTGCCCCCACAAACACTGCCACCAAGAACACCACCACCATACACACCTCCCCCACGAACTTTTCCACCAAGAACACCGCCTCCGCAAACACCACCACCATACATCCCCCCACAAACACAGCCACCGAGAACACCACCACCATACATACCTCCCCCACCAACTTTTCCACCAAGAACACCGCCTCCGCAAACACCTCCCCCGCGAACTGTTCCACCAAGAACACCACCTCCGCAAACACCACCGCCTAAAACACCTCCACACACCCCGACACTTCCACACACGGTGCCTAGAACCCCACCAACACCGACGTATAAAATAACACCACCATACGTACCCCCACCAACCCCATCGAGAACACCGCCACCGTATCTGCCACCGAGAACACCGACACCAAGAACACCATCACCTCCGTCCAAAACACCACCACCATACGTACCTCAACAATATCTGCCACCGAGAACACCGCCACCAATAACGAAGACGCCAACAGGTGTAAGACCGGCGCAAAGAACACCACCGCCACCGCCACCTCAAACACCACCACCAAGTCCGGCGAATAGAACGCCACCAACATTGCCGCCTAAAACACTACCACCATACGTACCTCCACAAACTCCACCACCGA